CAAGGCTATTCAACCGACAAATAGACTTAAGTATGTAGAAATCGATTTGTAAATCAAAATATAGATTAACAATCAATTCGTGTTTTAATCGATTTTATCTTTTTGTATGTTTCCTGATATTAACATTTTCATGCCCAGTCTTAACGGATGATTTAAATGAGGTCTGCAAAAACGCAATATCTTTAACTCAATCTACTTTGGGGCAACAAGACCAAAAATAAGTTATTGCTGCTTGAGAATAAAAAATATGATACATACTTCACTTGTAAACTATAAAAAAATGATCCGTGTCAAATATAGATCGATTATATTATCACAAAGAAATTGGCGCGTACCGAATAATTAGATCTGAACTCGCGCATTGTGTCTGAATCCAAGGCAAATTGGACCTCGCAATATTTCACCTGACAGTGTCGTACGTGTGTAATTGCACGGATTTATCCACTATAAACTCAAGTTTTTGTCGCACTAGTTTGGCACGCGCCTTTCTATATAACGATCTGAAGATGTAATTTGTCGACTATTTTTTGCGGCCAAATGATCAAGTCAATATACAAGTCATCATCAAAATTTCCGTAACGGCGCTCGATAAGTATAGTTCACTTTGGGCGTTATGTTTGTGAGATTTTGTAACTAATTTTCATCTTATTTTTTTGTATACAAGTCCTAGTAAAAAAATGTTACCCTTAATAATATACCTAATAATTGTAGATCATTCATAAAGCTAGATACGTGAAGAAAATTTTATATTTAGGAATAAAAAAAGAAGAAGAAAAAAAATTTTTTTTTCTGTATCATATTTTAAATGCAATAAAGAATATAATAATAAATAAATCTAAGATTTTTTTTAATACTACCAACTGTATACATTTGATTGCAAACTCAATTTATAATTCAAACACGCATACGGTGGCGATATCAGTAATAGGTAATGCAAAGTTATCGCTCGGAACAATAATCCGCGATAATGGATTAACGCGCAGGTGAATATTTATAAACGCAGTTATCGTCTAATCCGTAAAAGACAAAATGAACGCGAACAATATGTCTTATTACATTTCATGTTTAGTACATGTTTGATATAGAACTAGGGGTTATAAGAACATTCACTATAAAAAAGTTCAGAGATTCGACCAAGCTAGCCATTGATTCAAAATATTTTTTATCTATTCATACAGCCATATTGATCTTTTAGTCATTTTCATAAGAAAATGTACCTGAAAACAAGATTACAAGCATCTCTTAAACCTACTCGTATGAGTTATATGATATAAATCAGTAAATTTTAATTGTTAGTAAAATGTCGTCATTTTCTTACTATAAATCTATATAATACTAGCTGGAAGGTGAAAATAAATGCTTGCCTATCTATTTGAGACGTTTGTATAATCTACCTACATACATACATACGTAAATACATATATCATACATCTAACTGTAATGCTATTGTGAGTTGTTGAACGCACGCCCACAAAGATTTTGGGCATTGATAGAACAATGCCCAGGCAGTGGTAGCTCAGTGGTAACGTGCTCACTTAAAAAACCAAGTGAAGTGGGTTCATATCTCATGGAATGGGGCATGCAGGTATCCTCACTTTGTTTTCCTTCATCGTAAGACAAGTGGTAATCATGTTGAATGATTCGCACAGCAGAATTTCAGAGGTGCGAGACCCAGGATTTGAACTCGCTTCACTTGGTTTCCTAAGCAAGCGCGGTATCACAAGTAACTACAACTAATTTAGGATTATTATGAATTATATACCGTTTATATACAAAAAAATAAATTTCTTTATAATTAACTTTCAATAGTATTTTTCTTTTTGTTATTTAATTAAATACTTATCTATACTAATATTATAAAGAGGTAAAGTTTGTGAGTTTGTGACGTTGTAGGGGGTAATCTCGGGATCTACTGAACCGATTTAGATGACATTTGGTAAGAAGATAGTCGTCGATAGATCGTCCCTTAACGGGGTAAAAATGGGGATGAAAGTTTGTATTGGGAAGCAAGCTAGGGGCGAAGCCAAGCGAAGCGAGGGTGAGTCGCTAGTTATATATAATTAAATTAATATTAAAAAAGTACTTACCTGGGGCAAACCCGAGCGAATATTATATGTTTTCCAAAAAAGTAAATTGTATCTCATTTTTTTTTGGCTTTATTTTTATTGGCCAGTGGATTATAATTTACGTACTAGCATGCTAATGTCACAGAGAAAAATAATAATAAGTTCAACTTATTGAGATCTTATTTACATCGCGTATTAGTTTTTACGTTAATTAAATAGTACCTACTAGCGACTCAAACTCGGGTATGTATTCAACTTTCCTATTTGAATCGGATATTATTAAATTTTTCATTGGTTTTAATTTTTTTTCGTGGGGCCCTATTTTTTTCTAAAATAAAAGTAGCCTAAGTTACTCCTTATTACATCAGCTACCCGCCAGTGAAAGTCCCGTCAAAATCGAGCTAGCCATTTCAGAGATTAGCCGGAACAAACAGACAGACAAACAAAACTTATAAAAAAATATTGTTTTGGCATATGTACCGCTGTTATTTTGGCATTACAAACAGACACTTCAACTTTATTTATCTATATAGATAGATGTATGTAACTATTTAAAATTTTAATCGCTTTTCATGGTTGTTCTAAAGTTGTAATTAAATATTGAGAGTAATAATAGTCCAGCCCCCTACGGATCTTTTTAATGCTTAATAACAAGCTAAAATTTCGTGAGTAGCATCATTTTGGCGAGACGCCCAACTATTCTTTCTACGAGAATTTGGTAGCGGTACTAGATACAATTGTGGATTGATACGGAACATGTCAAAACGGTGATAATATAAAATTTATTACTAACAGGTTGTTTTACGATTTAATCTTGAGATAATCCAACATCAAACGAGAAAAAAATGTGTCCTACAAAACAGATGGTTTGGATCAAATCGTCCCACTTGTTAAAATAAAAACGTCATAAAATTTGTTAATAACCGGCTGATTTTCATAGTAATTATTATTAAAAATATGCATAATTTAATTAATAAATCGTTTTACAAATAAAATAAAGGATTTCTCAGGTCTACGCTCGGATATTGTCTTCCCTACGGTGATATTTTATTCATTAATAACAAACTAAAAGGGGGAAAAAAAAGAAAAACGTTTAAGGTTAAAAGTTAAAAGTTGGTACAACTATTTAGTAACAGAAGTAAAAGTTATTTTTGGAAGTTATAAATTTTTGTAAAAACCAGTGTCCGCTCAGTGGTCGAAATTCAACTATTATAATCTTTAAAAAAAGTTGAGAAAGACATAATATATGAATAGAATTTACATATCTATATACAAAAAAAATTTACTGTTTTCAAATTTTTTTAATGATGATAGTGTCATCATTAAAAAAAATTGGAAACAAGCTCAAGCTCAAGCTAGTCAAAAGCTATTAAACAAAAAAAAAGAAGATCGGTTAACAAACAGAGGGCAAAAAGGCACTGCACTGTTTTGTCTTTGCCTATTTATAGGTACATATGTAGAAGTTATTGCAGTAATAAATCAAAAGCCGTATTCACAATACCGTGTGTATTTGAGTTCCTTTAAAAATATTATATAATATAGTTTTTGTTAGTAATAATAAAAATATATTAAGTACATAACTAGATTGATAATCAATGATAACCAGTTAAACTCTCTTTCAAATATGTATTTGACCTTTTAAATCATTATCAATGAAAGAAGGCAAATTAAAACGACCTTACTTATTTTTCAATTATATATATATATATATATATATATATATTAAAATATATAAAACTATTAAAAACTAAATAGTTAAAACAGTGCGTTATCGTTTTACATAATATTGAAAGTTACTTTTGGGTAATTTAGTAAAGTCAGTCTTCTATATTTTTAAATTTTATTTATGAATTATATTAATTAGCAATTCAATAAATATTACAAACAAACCTATCTTGTAGTCAAATCGATTTAGTTAAATTAATTTAGTTTATAAAAAGGCCAAATAACAGTGATTATTCCTAGAAAAACCGCTTGTTATTTTAAAAATTGATATCTAAGTCATGGTATTTCAGCCAGAATTCGTTTGTATCCGTTTGTATATATCAGCCAAATAGATTAATATTCAAGTAAAAAATTAAAAATTCAAAAAGATTGCAATACTTTTGAATTCCAAAATATTTGAATTGGATTAACACATTTGAAGGTTAACTAATGGCTACTAGACGAACTGGTTTGCCGATTGCCGTAACATTGGAAAGCATACATCAATAATTCGAATTAATCATTGAACACCCAAAAAATCTATTGATATACAACTATACGTATATACAATATTTTTTATAGCTAATGCATACAAGCTTATCTTTAAAAGGAAAACTAAACTTAAATTCTAATGAAAAATGTTAGATTTTTAGTTAAAATTTTTTTAAGAAAAGGTTAATTTAACTTTTCAAATAATTAAACAATACAAAAAAATTAAATATATGAAGATTATTATTAACATTTCAGTAGATAACTTTTTAATAATATATTTTGTAAATAATTAAGAAAAATGCTTAAAATATATCAATAGGTAATTTAATGCTATGATATAAATCTTGCACGTGATATTAAATTAATTTTTATTCGTCATCTTCAATGAATATTCACAGGCCACATATAGGCCATATTTTTTTAATAATTAGACGACCTTGCCGAAAAATCGATTACTATTGTTTTAAATTAATAATTCAATTATGTATGTAAGTGTTTCATTATATTTATGCAAATATCGCTTATCAAGATGAACTTGGCATAGGACTTTATTGTCCGAGGAAAACAATTGGACAAGTTATTTGTACAGCCTATATGTAACCTAATATTTGTTTTTTTACTTTCATTATTAAATCCACATAATTTTTAATGAAGTGTGTTATGTAAGAAAACATTAAACAATGTCCATATAAAAAAATATAAAAAAAAACCTTAAGGGGGGTAAATTAAAAAACTTGCCTGTGAAAGATCACTCGGGGCTTCCGACTTGACTGTGTTAGCGGCTGCCCAAGCTTCTGCGAAAGTCTCCATAGCACTCTGAAAGTCCATTTTGTTACGATTCACGATATCAACATACCGAAATATCACACATGTGCCCGACACGGCGAAGAGTAAAATTTTAACACGTTCGCTCCAGCCGGCCGGCGGCGCGGTACTGACGGTCGGCCCCGCCCAACGAACCGCCCGCGTCGAGAAAAACCGATACCACCCGAGCCTCCCGTTTCAGCGCTTTTCTTTTTTAAGCCGCTATTTTAACAAGGTTTTTTTTCACAAAAGCCCGGCCCACGGTGGTTGGGCGACCTTCAGATTATTTACACTTGTAATTCACAGATTGCTACGCAGATTAATTTGTTGTATCGGGAGGGTGTTAGGCGTTATCTCGTTACGTGATTACGCGGCGCATCCGATACGACGACTTACGGCTCTCGCACAGTGTGAGACAATACGCTCATTGTTATTAGTTATCGCTATCGGTGATTACCTCGTTTACCTAAATGCGTAGGTAAATTAGGTATAATGTTATTGCTCTTGAATATTATGGCAGATTCTTAATTAGTTTTCGATTATGGCGCTAATTTTGCAATTTGGAAGACTATAAAAAAGGCTAATTGCAACTAACATAGCAAATGGGCGATGCTAGAAGACATTTTTATTCATTAAATAAATCACGTTGGCTTACAGAATCTCTGCGTTGTGAGAAAAAATCGTCACCGCTTCCTATAATTTTGTACGTGGCCGTTTAAGCAGTATTACCTCCGGCAAGCGGCATTTCATCTTAATTTCTAAAGCTTTCGCGATATTAAATGTTGGCTTTGACAAATTGTAACGATAGACTTAGCACATTTAGTTACAAAGTGTATTTATTTATTTAAACATTATTTTACAGCTTGTTGTTTCTTAATAATATTTTGTTATACCTCATTAAATATATCTATCTCGTTAATGAAAGTTATATTTAAAGTTTGATTAACAAGATGGCTCCGAAATAATTTTGTATCGAAAATGTTTTAACGATTATAATTTCGACATTCTATGAGATCAGTGTTTTTATACGTGAGTAAAAATGGAATAATAAAAACAAAACAGTTAACTGTAGAACGATAAATAGGGCAATGGAAGCTTTGTATCGACCGACTTCTTTGTGGATAAAACAATGGTTACAACTTAAGTATCGAAGCGATTGTGGAGTTGGAACGAGAGGAAAGTATAAAAGCTGTCTACACTGTGCTTTCATTCGCTCTTTATGTATTTTCATATAACAGAAATGTTGTGATAGAGATGGAATCCAGCTTGCCTATATTAAAATATCTTACCTGCTAACATCTAAGCGTGTAGATAAAGTATTCGCGTAGTCGCGGGTATATAAAGTATTATTATTCTGTAAAGTGTAATATAGAACCTTGTATTTTCAGCACAGTAGTCTAAAAAGCTACGTACATATGCAATTAATATTTAATCACTACATATTATAAAATAAAGTCCCTCTCACGCGTCTGTCTGTCTGTCTGTCTGAACCTTATAAACACAAAAACTACTGAACGGATTTTCATACGGTTTTCACCAATAGACGAAGTGATTCATGAGGAAGATTTAGGTGTATAATCCATTAAAATTTTGTGAAAATTGGCTAAAATATGACGATGATTTTTAAAGATGTCGGAAAAAATCATGTCCATTGGGAGTTGTACTGGCGTGAGCCACGGAAACCAATAAAGTTATATGTATTACGGGACTATTCCTCTTAAAAAGATCTATTAAACTGTAGCAACGCTATATGTACGTACCTAGGAACGCACTCGGGCGACCAATGTGTTACATTTTTGTTGTGATATCTACACTTCTACACTACTATTATAAAGAAAAAAGATTTGTTTTTTTTTGTAAGTTTGCAACGAATAAACTCAAAAACTACTGGACCGATTTAGATGAAATTTGGTAAAAACATAGTTTGAGACACTAAGAAGGACATAGGATATTTTTTATTCCGGAAATCATCCCTTAAGGGGGTTAAAATGAGGAAAATTTGTATGGAGAATCAACCCAAGCGAAGCGAGGAAGAGTCGCTAGTCAATTATAAAAGATCACTATGACTTCGTTATCTAGTTTCCACTAATTGTCATATTACTATAATCAATAGGCATCTTCTACTTTACCTCCTAAAGTAACATGAGTTCATAAAGTTTCACAGTTTTTTTACGGATGGAAATAACGATCAATTCCCTTATTTAACTATCCGTCTTATTTAACAAATGTGTGACAAATTCCAAATGCGAGTAGAGGTCTTAATAACACTTGACCGAACATCGATGATTGCATTAATATTAAGATGGAAAACTTGATTTTAAGAACGCTAACCTCAAACATTACAGACAAAACAGGTTTGCACAAATGCATTACCTACACTATATTATAAAATCTAAATTAACTACCATGCTAAAGTAATTATCTTGTTATTTTCATTTAAAAATCATTTAGCTTAGTTTTAACAGACAAAGGCAAAACGATACGGAGTCATTATGTTATTTAAATTACATCGTATATAGAGCACTATCTAATATTTACTTCATATTTTTCATTTCAATTACTGGAATCCTTATACATCCCGGCATAAAAAATAACTTTTAATGCCTTTATTGCCATCGAAATAAATAGTGTAAGATACCTACAACATCTATACTAATATTATAAATGTGAAAGTGTGTTTGTTTGTCCTTCTTTCACGCCGAAACGGAGTGACGGATTGGCGTGATTTTTTGTGTCGAGATAGTTGGAGGGCTGGAGAGTGGCATAGGCTACTTTTTACAGCGGGAGATTATCTAATTACCACAGGAAAATACGTTAATAATACAATCCAAAAAAATAATATGTATGTTCACAATTACTTGAAACTTGGCATTAATGCTCTTCAATAAAATTAAATAAATACGTGTTTCAGCATTTTTCAAAATTCATCCTAAAAGGAGATAAAATAGGGGATGAAAGTTTGTATGAAACTACCTTTTTATAAATTTTTAGTAGTTTTAGCGCGTTTTCAAATTTTTTAAAATAAACATCTTGGAATATGTTAATATTTGACTAATTTTATAGTCAATATTTACTTATCATGGATATTATGTTCAATACCCAATGAGAATAGCTGTAAAGATTTTTTTATACATTAATTCGAATAAGGCAAGTCTAAAATAATTCTATCAAGTCTAAAGGAGTTAGCTGCTATGTTAAAAGTTATAAACTTACTAAATAAATTATGTGAAATAATACTCGCTCGCTTCAATAAAATCTTAATAAATTTTGACTTGCCAACACAGCGCAATATAAAGATATTTTATTATATTTTTCTTTATATCTATATATAGATATTATTTAGAAAATCTTATTGAAATATACATTATTATCGATACAGATGCCGAATCTATTGTTTTTAGAATTTTTGTCTGTCTATCTGTCTGTCTGTGACCGTATTACGAAGAAACCACTGGACAGATTTTGATGAAATTTGATATTATGATAGCTGGTTATCCGGGTCAACATATAGGATACTTTTTACTGGGAGAAAATATCTCATCTATAAATTAAACGCTATATAAATATCTTATACTAAGTGCCCATTAGATATGTACATCTCAATTTTAATAGCATTTATTCATAAATCTTTTTTATCTGATTCAACATAATTTTTCATAGACCTGTAGATTTAATCTCACTTCGCACTGGCGCGTCCCTAGATGTCTAACAATAGCCTATGTGTCACTCCAGGTCATACTCTACCTGCGTACTAAATTTCATTCAATTCAGTCCATTTGTTTCAGCGTAAAAGAGTACCTAATAAATATAGGTACTTGCTACTTTGATGTTCGTATTTAAAGAAACGAATGGCAGCATGTTTTAAATATAAGTTTTTGATAACGTTTTATATATAACTATAGACACCCTCGTTCGCTCGTGAAAAATTAAGAAAAACCCTCGCTTCTTCGTCCGCTTGTCGTCCCTAGTAAAAACAAAAACAAATCCATCCCACAGGGACCATAATTTTTTCCGGGATAAAAAGTAACCTATGTAATACTCCAGACTATAATCTATCTCTGTGCCAAATTTCATCCAGATCCGCCGTTCTGGTGTGATTAAGTAACAAACATCCATTCATTCTCACAAATTTTTACATTTATTATATTAGTATGGATTCATGGGATGGGATAAACATGTAACAGCTATTAACATCACATAGCAATATTTCACAAGTACATAATTATCACAAGGACAAACTGTTTTAGCTTATTAGCGACTGTTATCCTTAATCATAGTAAAATATGAACGGATGACTACCACCCAAAATGTAGAGTTGAGTCATCCTGCATTTGTGTTATTTTAGGCCGTATTTTGAAAGGCATAAGTATCATAGAGATTTATACCCAATAAATCTTAGCACCTAAGCAATGACTAAATCAAAGTTGTTAAGTAATTCTTATTGGTTTTTTCCATAAAAGCAAAATATTGGCAATCTGTATCTACGTACCTATTTAAAAAAATGTTGTGTAATAAAACTAAACTCTGAGACCAATGACGTGTTTTATAATCCATTCTATAGATGATTTATTCACACTTTTCGTTGTTCTTGTTTCAAGAATGGATTTTCCATGCAAAAAGTGGAAATTATTGTGTACGAATAGATATTTTGTTGGGCTAGGATAAAGCAAATTTATGATAATTGATAACTAAATATTACTATTGAATGATATACGGAAACAGTTCAGTGACCTTATAAACTCAATATAAAAAAATGTTTATTCGGAATATATTCAATAACTGAACCGATATAGCAACTGAAACTCGTAGCTTAAAAAACATACAAACATACAAAAGCATATAGCAACCACGTTACTTATATCCAAAATAAATCGCAATAAGACGTTCAAAACCTACAGTTGAAAACTGAAAGCTACATAGGATCTTACATATCCTAATCCGGAGATACCAATAGCGTTCGTTTGCTTCGGCATTCGGTAAAGCCTCCTCCAATAGGTGTGTCCGGGTTAGGTTTATCCTGATCC